CCCCCCCCCCGCTACTGCCACATCCCACCCTAAAGGGCAGGGGCTCTCGGGGTCGGCAAAAGGAAAAGGGGCAGCGGACAGGAAGGGGGAGAGCACTATTGGACGGACCCCACCGACACGCGTAGCGGCAACGGCGCGGCCGTGTGGCTAATTTACCATCCTGTTCCCTCATCTTCGGGGGGGGGGGGCTCTCCGTGAGCACCCCCCTTATAGATCTCAAAACAGCTTGTAATTACTTTTGATAAACAGCATAAGATGCAAATCAAGCGCAAACAAGAAGAAATGAGCTCCCGCGAGGATGAGGCACGGCGGCGGCCGTGAGTCCGCGCGCATGTCGCCGAGGCCCAGCCGACCAGGAGGGGCCCCCCCCCCCCCCACCCAGACGCGGGATTCTTCTGAGCGATAATCAGCGAACTTGCCCGCATCTCCACCTCGGCTATCCACCCTCCCCCCACCCAGCCATGTGACTGTTTAAGGTTTTTTTTCATCCCAGTTCACCGTCACTTCACGGCTTCTTTCCTTACAGACTCCCAAGTCCTCCGTGTCAATGAAACCCCCCCCCAGCTCACTACCCCCCTCCCTCAGCAGTTACGGCTGGCTGACGACAGGTGCCGCGTGCGCTCCCAGTGACGCCGCGTGCTGGGTAGTAATGTTGCACCACCAGCCACTTATTCCCTGAACGGTGACTGCACACATCGGAGAGGCATCTCAGGCCGACGCCCAGAATGCAGCAGCTAGTCGTTGATCTCCATAACCATTAATCTCATCCACACTACTCTCATTATTACTACTATCTCATCTTAACCAGCAAGATCCACAAGGTGCTTTTAAAAAAGTGAAAACCGAAAATGAAGGGCGAACGGGCCTCGGACCAAAGCTTTGCTCAGACAGACACTCGTCTAAGGTCCACGTTCGTGTGCTGGAGATGAGGCCGGGGATCCAGACATCACCAGCGGATCACCACTCAGATGTCGGCAGGATTCCTCTGAATGAAGACCTCCCCGCTCCAGAAGCTTGGCCAGGCAGAGCCGCCAGCCGTCCAACGCGTTGCGATTAATATTAATGATGAATGATGTGCATCATTAGCCGGGCCCCCCTGGGGCAGGTCGATTGCCGGTGACCCGGTTTGGGACTGGGAGGGGTGGGCATGCAGACTCAGTCGTGGGAAGGTGGTGAGGGTGGGGTTAGGGTGAGGGGCTCCTTCTCATGCTACAGAAGTCCTCGTTGCAGCACCCTGCACCAATCAGGATGTCCCGGCGGACTGAGCCCAGTCCTTCATGCCAAGGGGCGACATCATCCTCATGCAGGCCATGCACTGGGACCTAGTGGGCATCCAATCAGAGTGCAAAGCCACCAGAGCAGCCGGCGGGGCCCCGGGTCCCGTCTGCGGCGGCCGGCATCACCCAGGCGCACATGAGCGCGGTACCCTGTCCGACACGTCCCGTCGGGCCGTCATGGCACCCTCGCACGATCAATCCGGCACAGAATCCCCCAGCCGGCACGTCCAACAAGGCCGTGGTCCGGCCCACCTGCGCGAGAGCGCCCCCTAGCACCTGAATTGATCCCCTCAGCCCAGTGCGTGGCAGGCAAGGAGTCAGGGCTCCATTCATAAAGAGAGAGGGAGAGAGAGAGAGAGAGAAGGAGGGAGTGAGAGAGCGAGTAGGGGACAAACCTTGCTGCTGAGTAGGATCTCCTGTGGGCCGTCCGACAGGCAAGGTGGGTGGAAAGAGAAGGCAGGGTGACAGTTAGTCAGCAGGTCCTGGACAACATGGCGGAGGGGGTGTGGGTGGGGGTGCAGTTATGGTGTCTCTCCTGATGCTGCAGCAGAATCCAGGCCAGCAAGGCGGCACTCTCACGGTTAATGTGTGGGGTGGTGATGGCAT